GTGTTCCTCTGCTGCCCAAACCTTCCACCTCTCCTAACCAGCATTTCATCAAGGTTTCCACTGTTCAATTCCTCCCTGACCATTGTACCAAAACTTTTTGTCCTTTAAAGTACCTGTCATCTTATATTCTGTCCTCTCCCAGCTCCTCGTTGCTGTTATCTGATGACCCTGGGGATAGTCCTTACTCAACAAGGTCATCTGTCATATGGTCTTGTTCTTTGCTCCAACTCCTGACGGATCCTGGGTCATTGCAGTGTCCTTGCAGAGGTCAGTCAACAACTCAGCTCCACAGTTCCTTGACTTGATCTCTAGTCAGGATGAAGTCACATCTCTTCTACCACCTCTTCAGGTACTCCCTTCCCTGGCTGCTCCCTGGACTTTGTCACCTATCCCATTCTGACCACTCCAACTCCATCCATTCTTCACTTTCAGAGCTGCAGGCTGCTGGTCCATCTCCTCCCTTTCTTCTTCTTTTTTTTATTTATGTTTGTTTGTTTGTTTGTTTTGAGACGGAGTCTCACTCTGTTGCCCAGTCTGGAGTGCAGTGGCACTATCTCAGCTCACTGAAACCTCCACCTCCTAGGTTCAAGTGATTCTTGTGCCTCAGCCTCCTGAGTCGCTGGGATTACAAGTGTGTGCCACCACACCTGGCTAATTTTTGTATTTTTAGTAGAGTCGGGTTTCACCATGTTGGCCAGGCTGGTCTCGATCTCCTAACCTCAAGTGATCTGCCCACCTTGGCCTCCCAAAGTGCTGGGATTACAGGCATGATCCACCATGCCTGGCCCCTTTCTTCTTTTCAGGCAATGAGCTGCTCTCTCTTCAGATAAGACACCCATGGCATTTCCTTCCACCTCGTCCTTTTTCTTTCAGCTACACACACTTTGCACAGCTCCAGCCCTGGCTACCCAGCCGTCTGTCTTGCCTGCTGTGCAGACAGAGCTCCTTTTAGATTGAGATCATTGCAGATGTATGGTCTCTGCTTCCAGCTGGGTACTCAGTAATACTTAGCAATCATTTTTCTTATCCTGGTCACCTCTGTCTTTCTCCACATCAGCTATTTTAAACCTTCACACATCTCCTCAAGCCCATTCTCTCACTCCTAGTAGATGACCACCAGTAGATGTAAGGAAAAGATGCCATGTCTGCAGACTTGCTTACCTCATCCTTAACCCTTTCTATGTCGTCTCAGAAGAAGGTCTCTCTTGTCTAAAACTAACCCCAGCCTTCTACTTTGGACCCCATCTCTAAAGCTTCAGGTCCCCACTTCACCCATCATGTCTGTTCCCCTCCTTTCTCTTTCCACTGGTAGCTTCCTGGCTTTGCGCCTTCCTCCTTTAACAACCTCTGTCTCTCCTTTCCCTCACAGCTAAACTGCTTATAAGAGCTGTCAGTACTTTTTGTCAACAGTGTCTGTCTTCCTTCATTCTTCAACTGACTGTAATTAGGATTTTGCCCCCACCTGAAGCGATGTTGGTTTCACCAGGGATGCTGATGATCAGTCAGTGGACACTTGGCAGCCTTTTTCTCACTTAGCTTCTCTTTTCACATTCAGCCCTTATGAGAACTGCTTCCCCAAATCTCCACTGTGTTGACTTACAGGTATTTTCAACTTAATCTCTGAATTTGCAATTTATTGTTTTGCCTTAAAGCCTATTCCTCCTCAGAACCTTCAGCATCTCTTATCTCAGTTTTCATAATCACAGACCCTAAGCCTTTAATTCCTAAAGAAGGAAACCTTGTTTAAATGACTCCATTCTACCCAAATTCTAATGCTATACCACGGCACTTAGCCTCTTCTGCCAGGAAGTAAGACACATGAAGTGCATCATACGGTGAGAGGCCATACATTCGTGCTTCCTTTCTGACCTTTGGAAATCTCGAAAGCAAGACCATTGCTTGGGGAAAAAACTAGGAAGGCAGAGGTCATCTTGTCTGCTGAATATAGCTTAATTTTCTTGAACACTCAAGGTCATCCTTGACTATCAACTGCTGCACAAAATATGCTGTGCTATTATGGTCACTTTCTAGCTCATCCCCTGCTGTCCCCATCTGCCTTTGTGCCTGTAGTTCACAGTCCTACTTCAGTATATACCTTTGATCTGCTGCAGTTTGGGGCATTAGGTAGTAGTGCTGTTTGAAGTGAATGTAAAACAAATCAGTCAATTCCAAATGAGGTGTCTCCTGTAGAGTTAATCTTTTTTGGCTTTATGTTTGCTATTTCAGTGGGTAGGAGGCCATTTTTTCCTAGTCTTTATTTTGTCTGTGTTCCTGAATGGCTGACATTTGCCCAAGATTGAATTCTAATTATTTGATACCTTTCCTGTCATCTCATTTGACATTTCATGTGGAAAGTTAAAAGTACATTAGTAGGATGTATCTGTTTTAGATTTTCTGCTTTGGGGTGTGGTCTTTCCCTTCAAGCTTAATTCATTGTGTAGGAAACCCTCATCAGGTGAATGTAATTATCATAAACTGAACGAGAAAAATTTATCGTGAGTTTGAGCCCTCAAGTTAACGTTCACTATAATAAACACCAAATCTAATTTAAGTGGACACAATTATTTAACCAGTTCACATTTAGTTATCTTATATAACCTACATAGGCATTTTCCCTTCATTAATTACTCTGTAATATGGCTATTCACCTGTTCCTGTTAAGCCTTTCTGTAGTTGTTAAGCACTATACACTTAACATATAAAACATACACTTGGTATGCTATATATATGTCATCCACTGTTAAGCAAGGAAAAAGAAAGAGAAAACCACAGATTAAAAATGCAAAATAAACCCATAAAACTAGTACAGATTCTGCCATATTCTGATACGGAGTCATGATGAGTGAGATCATCATTGCTGCAAACCAGCAAATGTTGAACACTCTGAGAGAACATGATGCCATACATTCCTGCCAGAATGATTTCTGTGAGAGCCAGGTAATTCAGCACTAACTGAAACTCCTCCTGAAGTTGGATTCTCATCATGTACCAAGGAATAATTCATCGTCCATATAGTATTATCTATGTTATCTAAATACATGTATCACCACACAGAAAAAGAATTAATAGACAGCTCAGCTGCTTTTCTGCTACTCCTTCCTTCTGGTATTGTTTCCTTCTTGAATCCTTTGCTAATTATTCCAGTTTGGGGACTATGCATAGTAAACTTACAGAGTCATTGTCTGATAATATAATATTTTTTTTTCAGTTAAGCTTTCTATTTTGAGATCATTGTAGATTCATATAGTTGTAAGAAAAAATACGGAGTTCTCATGCACCCTTTTCCTAGTTTTCTCCAATGGGAAAAACTTACAGAATTATTGCAGAATATCACAACTAGGATATTGATGTTGACACAGATCCAGGACACTTCCATCACCACAAAGATCTCTCCTGTTGCCCTTTTATAGGCACAGACTTCCTTCCTATCACTACATTTCCCTTAGCCTTTGGCAACCACGAATCTATTCTCCATTTCTATAGTTTTGTCATTTTAAGAATGTTATATAAATGGAATCTTGCACTTGCAATTTTTTGGGATTGACTTTTTCACTCAGTATAATTCTCTGGAGATACATCCAGGTTATTGCATGTGTTGACAATTTAATCCTTGTTATTGCTGAGTAGCATTCCTTGTTATGAGTGTACCAAAGATTGTCTAACAATTTACCTGTTAAAGAACATCTGGGTTGTTTCCAGTTTTGGGCTATACCAATACAACTGCCATAAACATTCATATACAGGGTTTTATATGACACAAAGTCTTCATTTCTCCGAGATGAATGTCTAGGAGTGCAGTTGCTGAATCATATGGTACTTAAATGTTTAGTTTTATAAGAAACTGCCAACCATCCAGTTAACATTTTACTTAGCGTTAAAATCTTGGGCTATAATGGTGGGTTTGTCTGTCCTTTTAATTCTGTTAGTTTTTGCTTGACATATTTTACAGCCGTTTGGCATATACATGTTCAAGATACCTATATCTTATTGGTGGCTTTACCCTTATGTATTAATAGTTATGTAATGGCCCTTTCTGTCTCTGGTTATTTTCTTTGTTCTGAAGTCTATATGATATTAATACAGCCAGCCCTGTTTTTCTTTGATTAATGTTTGCATGATACATCCTTTTCCATTCTTTCAGCAGTCCATATCATTATAACTGAAGTGAGTTTCTTGTAGATGGTGTATGATTAGGTCATGCTTTTTAAGTCAGTCTTCCAATCTTTGTCATTTAATTGGTGTATTTATTCCATTTACATTTAATATAATTATTAATATTGTATGACTCAGGTTTGCCATTTTATTTCTCAGTTTTCTTTTCCAGCCTGCCTTGACTGGCCGTTTTTAAAGAATTCTGTTTGATTTACCAAGAGTGTTTTTGAATGTATCTCTACTCATGGCTGTTTCAGTGGTCACTCTATGTCTTACTTTACATATATGTAACTTATCATAGTGTTATATATATATATCATAGTTCACTATTTCATCTTTTTATCCTGTCTTGTTTTAATTGTCTTAAGTGTTTCCTTTACATATTTTAGAATCACATAGATAATACTATTTTTCTTAAACAGTTAAACATAATGAAGAAGACTCAAGATAAGAAGGAAAGCCTTATTGTATTTGCCCATATTTTTGCTTTCCGTGTTCTTTCTTCCACTCTGATGTTCCAAGATTCCTTCTTTTATCATTTTCTTCCTGTTCAGAGAAATTCCTTTAGCTGTTCTTTTGCAGGCAGATTTCTTGGTGATAAATTCTGTTAATTTTTTTTTTAAATCAGAGAATGTCTTCATTTACCCTTTATTCCAGAAAAATAGTTTCACAGGACATAGGGTTCTGGGTTGAAAGGTTTTCTTTCTTTGAGCACTTGAAAAATACAATCACTCTCTTATGGCCTCCCTGGCTTCAGATGAGAAATCTGCTGTTATTTGAATTGTATTTCTCTTGTAGATACAGTATCGTTTTTCTCTGGCTACCTTTAAGACTTTTTATTTCTCTTCAGTTTTCAGAAGTTTAGTTATGATCTTGTCACAGACTTGTTTGGGTTTATCCTGTTTGGGTTCATTCATCATTTCAAATCTGTAGATTGATGTCTCTCACCAAATTTAAGTTTTCAGTGCTATTTCTTGGAGTGCTTTTTTCAATCACTTGCTCTTTGTCCTCTCCTTCCAGGACTCCAGTGACATGAATGTTAGATCTTTTTTATTGTCACCAGGTCTTTGAGGCTCTGTTTATTTATTTCAGCCTTTTATTCTTTGTTGTTCAGATTGGATACCTTATCATTTTGTCATCTAGTTCACTGATTCTTTCCTGTCACTTCCATTCTGCTGTCAAGCCGATCCACTGAACTTTTATTTTGGTAGTTTTATTTTTCTGTTTTAAAATTTCTGGTTGGTTCTTCTGTGTATCTTCTAGTTCTTTGCTGAGACTTTCTAGTTCTTTGCTGATGATTTCTAATTTTTTCATTTATTTCAAGCATGTTTGTGTTACTTGTTGGAACATTTTTATGATGGCTGCTTTAAAATCTTTGTCAGATAATTCTAACATTTGTCATCTTGATATAGGAATATGTCTGTTACCTTTTTTCTTTCAGTTTGAGGTCTTCCTGGTTCTTGGTATGATGAAGAGTTTTCAACTGAAACCTGGATATTTTTCTATTTTGTTATAGGACCTTAGATCTTTATTTAAGTCTTTTAATTGTCTTCCTGTCTTGGACACTACCTGATCACTGCCATAATGTCTGGATTCTGGAATCTAGAAGTTGTCAGATTCCCCACTTGCTTCCATTGACACATGAGAGGAATTCATCTTGTTACTGCTGGGTAAGGATTAGAATGTTCTCATCCCCCTTTCCCTGGTGACCTCCACTGACACTGTGGCAGGGGCATAGAAGAGCTCATTACCCAGCCAGCAGAGATGAAAGCCCTAGCTCCCTACTTGATCTTCTCTGACACCGTCTTTATGGGAATATTGATACGCTTGGGTGTAGCCTTGCAAGGGTGGAAGTTTAGGCTCCCCATTCGGCCTTCGTTGGCATGGGTACAGGTTGGACTGTAGTTTTTGCTGTGGTACTTGGCTAGAATAGAGTCATTATTGTGGCAGAGTTTTCCTCTCTCTTGCTTGGCTGCCCCTTTTTTGGTCCCATGGCTACAGAGAGCAGGCTTTCACTAGGACTTTTTTTTGTCTGCATCCATTGGCATTTCTGGGTTGCCAGCTTGTTCTGCTCCAAGCCTAGGATATAAGAGGCAAAAAGAACCCAGGAAACTTCCTTCCAAATCATTCCTTGGGCCCTGAAATCCCTGGTACACTGAAATCTCTGGTACACTGGCCTTCTATTGCTCCACCCTTTCAGAGTCTTTTTTTTTTTTTTTTGAGACGGAGTTTCACTCTTGCTGCCCAGGCTGGAGTGCAGTGGCGCAATCTTCACTGCAACCTCTGCCTCCCAGGTTCAAGCGATTCTCCTGCCTCAGCCTCCTGAGTAGCTGGGATTACAGGTGCTCTCCACCATGCCCGACTAATTTTTTTAAATTTTTAAAAGATTGTTAGTAGAGATAGGGTTTCATCGTGTTGGCCAGGCTGATCTTGAACTTCTGACCTCAGGTGATCTGCCTGTCTCAGCCTCCCAAAGTGTAGGGATTACAGGCATGAGCCACCGTGCCTGGCCTCAGAGTCTTTTCTATTTCTTTTCTAGGGTGGTTTTTGTTTTGTTTTGAACGGAGTTTTGTTCTGTCGCCCAGGCTGGAGTGCAGTGGCACAATCTCGGCCCATTGCAATCCACCTCCCAGGTTCCAGCGATTCTCCTGCCTCAGCCTTCTGAGTAGCTGGGATTACAGGCACCCATCACCACGCCTGCCTCATTTTTGTACTTTTAGTAGAGACAGGGTTTTGCTGTTGGCCAGGCTGGTCTCGAACTCCTGACTCGGGTGATCCACCTGCCTCGGTCTCCCAAAGTGCTGGGATTACAGGCATGAGCCATCACGCCCGTCTTTTTCTAGGGTTTTTAGTTGTTCTTAGTGAGAAAAATAGGAAAAAGTTCTTCTACTCCATTGTCCTGGAAGTGGAAGACCACCTAGGCTTTAAGGGTAATTTTTTTGCACATCAAATGCAACAGTGTTGCCCCTCTTCTCAGCTGTGTGAGGATAGTACCCCTTTGTTTTTGGACCTTTGGAATCAAGATACCTAGTTTCTTTATAAGCCTTTTTTCCTTTCTTTCTTATTGCTTTTACAGTCTTCGTGTTTATTCTGCAGTTTCACAATTATGTATTTATTTATGTGTAGGTTTATCCTTATTTATTCTTCTCATGGTTCAGAGTTATTTTTTATTTGAACAATCCTTTAATTTTAATTCTATAAAATTCTCAGTCATTATTTCTTTAAATGTAGTCTCTCGGTATACCCTCATTCTCTTATTTTTTTAATTTTAAAATTCCTGTTAGACTCATGTTAGATATTTTCCTTCAATCCTCCATGTCTCTTGAGTTCTTTTATATGTTCTGTCCTCAGCTCTCGGTACAGCCTACTGAAATCTCCAGGTTTTATTCTGATTCACTAATTCTCTCCTCAGTTTTGTCCATTTTACTCTTTTTTTTTTTTTTTTTTTTTTGAGACGGAGTCTCGCTCTCTCGCCCAGGCTGGAGTGCAGTGGCTGGATCTCAGCTCACTGCAAGCTCCGCCTCCTGGATTTACGCCATTCTCCTGCCTCAGCCTCCCGAGTAGCTGGGACCACAGGCGCCCGCCACCTCGCCCGGCTAGTTTTTTTTTTTTTTTGTATATTTTAGTAGAGACGGGGTTTCACCGTGTTAGCCAGGATGGTCTCTATCTCCTGACCTCGTGATCCGCCCGTCTCGGCCTCCCAAAGTGCTGGGATTACAGGCTTGAGCCACCGCGCCTGGCCCCATTTTACTCTTTAACCTATCCATTGAATAATTAGTTTACAGACAGAGTGCTCTGTCACCCAAGCTGGGGTGTAGTGGTGTGATCCTAACTCGTTGCAGCCTTGAACCCCTGGACTCAGGTGTGTACCCTCCTCAGCCTCGCAAGTAGCTGGGACTACAGGTGTGTGCTACCACACCCAGCTAAGTTTTTTATTTTTATTTTTTTTAGGAACAGAATTTCATATGTTGCCCAGGGTGACCTTGAACTCCTGGGCTCAAGTAGTCTTCCCTCCTTAACCTTCCAAAGTGCTGGTATTACAGTTGTGAGCCAACGCGCTTAGCCTGGAATTTTTTAATGCCAACAAAATTCTAATAACGTTATTTTTGGTTTGATTGCCTGTAACCATGTGAATATTATGAGAGGTTGAGTAGGCTTCATCTCTCAGTGGTGATTAACATAGTTCTTAAGAAACAGGTGACAGAGCTAGGCCAAGCATCAGTAAAGGAACACACTCTTGGAGCTTAATTGAGGAGGAAGTGCTTGGTCTGATCTGGAAAAGAGTGTGGAGGTGACACTTTCAAAGGTACAAACAGGGGAGCCAGGAATACAGAGCAGAGCCTTTGAGACCACAGAAGGGGTCAGGCAGCAGTGGAGATTAGCAGTGGTGGGTCAGGAGCAAGGGTAGGGAGTGGACTTAGCAGCTGAGTGAAACGGGGAGGGAGTTGGTGTTCTGGTGCTCCCGAGCTCCTCAGCTCCTAAGCTATGCAGAACTACGTACGGTTCTTTGATAACACAAAAAACAAAGTGAATTAATATGGGTAATATGAAGTTTACCTATACTACATCATGCTAATTAACAATTTCTATTTGGAAATCCTTTACTTCCATTTTATAAAAAATAATATCCCAAATTGAATATATTACTATGTGTAAAGAAGAAATTATTCAGTTTGTCATTGAATCAGACAAATTTCACACTTGAAGTGCTGATCTAAACATGGCTTATGCTGCTAACAAATTACAGATGAGGGAAAAGAAGCAAGACCACATAAATCTGCAAGTGCAGACAAAACTTATTTTTTTCCTCCTTTTCCCTTTTCCCCTGCTTTTTAAAAAGAAGAAAGAAGTAGACTCTTCAAAGTCTACCAGGCTTACTGTTTTGTACAGAAAACACTTGAAATTTCTAAACTAAGTTTGCTGCCAACTGAATATGCATATTTCTTTGAATAGTGGCTAGCAGAGGGACAAGTTTTATTCATTCCAACAGTAGTTTTCAAACTTTCAGCTTGCAAAGTAATTATTCAGAGAGCACAGTTTGGTAAACCACTGACTTAACATGTCAGCCAAATATCTAAAATCCTTAAATGTCAGAAGGTAAGTCAACAGGTATACTGTCATTTCACAAGATACTCAGTTACCTCTTTTTCCTGTTATATTAACAACTAAGATACTAAATTTTGTGATCATGATCTAAGAAGAAATTCACAGCACCATTTTGAAGTTATTTTCACAGTCTCTTTTTATCTTTCAGATTTTTTGTTTAAGTTCTTGGTTATTGGAAATGCAGGAACTGGCAAATCTTGCTTACTTCATCAGTTTATTGAAAAAAAATGTAAGTGTCATCAAATGGTCATTCTCCCATGCATGTCTTCTGAGAGCCCTCTCTTGCTCAGATTTTTTTACAGTAAAACTTAAACTTTTTTCAGAGGAAAAAAGTAATAGTTTGAAAGTAAGTTGAAGGGTTATGTTATTAAACTTTGGGTGATGTGATTTTTTATTAAGTTAGCATTTCAGTTTAACAATGGTTCAATATATGATTACTTATACTGTACATTTTCCAAATGCTGAGAGATCTTATAGTGATATTGAAGATAGCAAAGGGGTTCTCTGGCAGGAATCCCATTTCCTGACAGAGCAGCCAGAGAAACTCTAGGCACACATTTTGGATAAAATAACAACATTTGGTCCTCATAGTAGGCTTGTATTGTAGTTAAGGCAGGTAAGGCAGTTGCTGTCATCAATTCTGTTTTATAGGCCAGGAACAGACCTCTTTACCACACAGCCCATCTTTTACCATCAACCTTCACTGTTTTGGTAAGGGAGGTTGAATTTTTTATTTCAAACCATGTGAGACCTTGGAAAGCTGTAGAAGACTGTAGGTTTGAAAGGCCCTTAAAATAAAAAAAAATGCTTTTATAATAATGGAAAGAATTGTGGAGAAAGACCTGTCTAGTTGGTGGCAGGTGGGTGAAAGCTCAAAAACAGAATGTCTTTTTAAATTAAGTGTATCTTAAGAAAGTATACGTGAGACACTGTAGGTGGTGGGTAAAAAGGAGAAAGAGCCAGTATGGGGTGGCTTGGCGGAAAGCTTTGAAGAATAATAAAATGCTAGAAATTTACTCTGCTACTTCCATTTTCATCAACCAAGAGCTTGTTGGAGCCTGTTTGTTTAGTGACATGGACCCAGTGTGTCTTAGTCACAGAACTGGTCCTTACTGAATTTAGCAAGTGTTCATTCACTGGATAGTTTATTTACAAGTTGCCAAGACTTTGCATGGTATAGTCTTAGAAAAGAATACCCAGAGGGTACTGGGCCAAGTACTCAGCTTATGTAATCACTCTCTCCTCCTCAGAGAACTCCCCTGCATGGTCCTCCCCACAACTCCTCACAACAGTGATGAACGGAAGGTCTCTCTTTGTAACCAGGATGCCCCTGGCCTTTAGCTATTGTTTTTTGAAGGATTTTACTCTGCATTTTTCCTGGTAGTTTACTCCTAATGGAATTTCCGTACTAGTTCTATACTGTCTGGGCATGAAACAGACTAGCATAGTCACTGTAACCATTTATGCACCCTTTGCCCTGTGAATAATAAATCCAGTTGCCAAGTGGCATCCCTGATCCCTGGAAAAATTAAATTTTGTTCTGCAATTACAAAATACAAACTAGCCAATGGACTGTATAGCCATGATATTCAATTTTAGCTTATCTGTTCATCATCACCGAAACGTTCTTTTATAGGCAGTGTATTCCCGCTGGGTTTAGCAAAATACTTATTTTTCCTCTCTCCTGCCCATTCAAATAGTACTAATTTCTCCAACAAATTCATCCCAAATCATTTCCATAGAACACTACAATTAATAAAAGCTCAAACACCTGTAGATCGCATAGGGTTTTGTTTTGGGCTTTGTTGGAGGGTGTTTATTCTTTGGTTCAATTTTTTTCCTCCTTTTCCCTTTTCCCCTGCTTTTCCTTCCATTCACTGTTATTTCTTTAGAATATTTAACCATTCAAATACAGTAGTTGAAACTGTCTCCACCTCATTACTTACTGAGTTCCAGACCTGTCACTGGGTGTTACGCCCTTCAGAATGGTACCTGGTACATCAGCAGTCGCCATCTGTGAGCATCTTCACAGCGCTCAATTGCATGTGGTTCGGGTATGGCAGGACTACCTTCAGGCATAGGTTTTTAAATGCATGATTTGTTTAGGGGTTTTGAGAAAAATCTTTATGTCTGTTGGAGAATAGGGGCTATGTGTATTATCTTTTAAACTAAATGCATCTTCTCAGTGGAATGTTGGAGAAATGAATGGCTACTGTCCATTCCCATTGATGTAACTCTTGGTTTTAGTGTCACTTGTTTAAATTTATAAGCCTGTTAATGTTCTAAAATTAAATATGCTGTTCTTGTTTTTCTTTTTTAGTCAAAGATGACTCAAATCATACAATAGGAGTGGAATTTGGTTCAAAGATAATAAATGTTGGTGGTAAATATGTAAAGTTACAAATATGGGATACAGCAGGACAAGAACGATTCAGGTAGCTTTTCTCTAACTTCATAAAAATACTTGAAAATTTGATTTGAAATACTTGATGATATTCTCTCAATATGTAAGGTCTCATCCCCTCCCCAACACACCCCTTCCTTGTCCTAATCTCAGAAACTTCATTTTTGGAAACTTTGCTTGACAAGACAGCTAAAATTCAGGTTAGCTCTGTGCAGCATGGATTACTAAAGAATACAGGAGGATTTCCAGGCAACCGCATTATCATTCGGAGGCTGACCTGTTCTCAGGAGGATGTGACACTGTGTATTGTACAGTATGTTTCTAGATTCACATCAAAGCACAAGCTTGTTTTTCTGTGTTCCTTTTTTAAAGAAGAACTTTTTAAAACCTCTTGTGAGGGTTTGTTTTGTTTTACATTAACTAGAGCATGTTCTGATGTTTGATACACACTCCACAAAATATTCTCTCCACACTTTTATTACAATAGGGTCATAATTGAGGCTCAGAATGACTTCAGTCACTGCAAATGAGGTTACATGTTTAGTATTCTGTAACTACTAAAGTAAGAAAATAGATGAATATTTTAGTTGTGTTTTTTGCACAGATGCACAGTCAGAGCAGATAGTTTTATAATTCAGTGAAATCCACCCCATTTGTAAACGTTTCACTTAAAGTTGAGTATATATCTTATATTAAATAATTGAAGTTTGGCCGGGCACAGTGGCTCATGCCTGTAATCCCAGCACTTTGGGAGGCCGAGGTAGACGTCCTCACCTGAGGTCAGGAGTTCAAGACCAGCCTGGCCAACATGGTGTAACCCCTTCTCTACTAAAAATAAAAATAATTAGCTGGGCATGGTGGCAGGTGCCTGTAATCCCAGCTACTCTGGAGGCTGAGGCAGGAAAATCGCTTGAACCTGGGAAGTGGAGGTTGCAGTGAGCTGAAATCATGCCATTGTAGTCCAGCCTGGGCAACAAGAACAAAACTCTGTCTCAAAAATTAATTAAGTAATTGAAGTTCAATAATTGCTTCAAAAATACCATAACCACCTTTAATCACCATCATTTTTCTGGAAGCATTGATTAAACACGGTGGATTCAGTTAGACATGTATGCCTTTTCCTTCTCAGAACCCCACTGAAATATCTATTAAGTAACTGAAATTGAATTAATACAAAAAGGCCAAGATTGAGAGAGTGCACAATTATGGTTGAGAGATTTCCAAAAAATTTCTTGAAGATAGGAAGTAGATGGTGCTGTGACAGCAGAAGGAGCTCTGCCTTAAGTGCTGTAATGGGGGAAGCCATTTCTTCCTCCGGAGTCCCAGAAAAGGTCAGCATTTGGAAGCATCAGGTTCTACAGGAGGTAGACGTTACAGAGGTTCATGTTTACACACGAAATAAGAGGTTCAGTCTTTTACGTTGAAATGGGGTCTAGACTCAAGGTCATAAGGCCCACCTGAGGGCACGGGGTCAGGCCTGAAAAGAGGGAAATTAAGTGAAAGTGAAAGCCTCTGGCCCCCAACCGCCCCGCCGCCCACCTCTTCCCTGGTCACTGGCAGCCAGGTGTGTATGTCCCACATAGGAGAAAAGAGAAAAGAGCCTTCTCTAGAAAAATGAATAGTCGGAAAGGAAAGACTTGAAGGTACTGTGTTTTGCTTTCCCAGTGAAACAGCCCCATCTCTATCCAGTCATCTGACAGTGAAACCCTCCAAGCCCACCCGCTTCACCCACACATAAAGAGCTGCTTTTAGACTTTTTCATTCCTTGCTCTTAATGATCAGGCAGAAATTTGAAGAAAGTTTCTATAGCAAAAGAAAGAGCTCAAAGTAAAGAAGCTAGAACTTTCAGGGAATAAGAAAATCACACTAAAACCACAGTATCCTCAGAAAGAAGAGCAGAGATTGCCTTGAAGTAAGTAATAGAAACAAAGTCATACTTAAAAAGAGCAATCAGAATAATAAGTAAACTCATGGTGAAAAATGGGAGAGATGACGTAAAGAATCATTCAGAATTAATCCAGAAGATGCAATGCCTGACTGTTAGGAGTTCCAGAAGAGAGAAGAGCAGAGGAAACAATAGAAGAAAACGTTTCACTGAAGGAATGAGATTCCAGATTAATTGGCCCACCTAAAATCAAACATAGTAAGGAAAAAGTCCAGACCAGAGCATGTCATGTGAAATTTCAGAACACCAGAGATGAAGTAAAGGAGACCAAAAAGGTTCCAAGAGGGAAAAAGCAGCCACATATACAGTGTGAGAAATGGAATTGCTTTGAACCCTGCCACAGCAACATTGGAGGCTAAAAGAAATGGAAGTATTGCCTTCAAAACTCAGGGTGAAATAATTCTTCAACCTAAAATTCTAAACTTAGCCAAACTGTAACTGTGCGAGTAAAGGCTGAATACCAACAGATGTGCAAGAATGAGCAGGAAGCCAAGATTATCTTTCTTAGAGACTTCTTAGAAATGTACTTTCTTAGAAAGTTTAGGAGGATATACTTCACCAGGACAAGGGCATGAACCGAGAAAGGGGAAAATGAAGCCAGCAGGAAGATCCAGCTCAGAATGGCACAGGTCTAGAGGGACGGTGAGGGAAGACTAAGATGTGATGGCACTGCCCTTCCAGGAGGACCAGGGGAACAAGTGGGGAGTCTGTAAGTGAGCTCACGACTCTTGTCAGAGCGGGAAGAAACAGCTCTGAAATTCACGGTTTCCTAAACCTTTTGTAGAAGTGAGAAGAAAGAAACTTTAAGATCCATGAGTGTAAGGGTTTTTGAGTTTTCTGTTTGTTTCCCCTGTGCCCAGAATAGTGTCTAGCACATAGGGGTACAGTATGTGCTCTTTTAATGACTTAATTAAAGGAAACCCAGTTACCAGAAAGAGAACTCGCCTTGCTTGTGGAGAGTAGGGCTCCCAGAGAGGAGTGAGGCAGGAGATACCTGTGTTTAATTTAGAGACTTCATAACATTTCACTTTAAAGCTATCCACATGTATTATGTTGGTTAAAATTACTTTTGTAAGAAAATTTAACACCTCAGAGTAGTACTCGTAAATGTGTAAATTTGGGCCGGGCGCGGTGACTCAAGCCTGTAATCCCAGCACTTTGGGAGGCCGAGACGGGCGGATCACGAGGTCAGGAGATCGAGACCATCCTGGCTAACCCGGTGAAACCCCGTCTCTACTAAAAAAATACAAAAAACTAGCCGGGCGAGGTGGCGGGCGCCTGTAGTCCCAGCTACTCGGGAGGCTGAGGCAGGAGAATGGCGTGAACCCGGGAGGCAGAGCTTGCAGTCCACTGCACTCCAGCCTGGGCGACAGAGCGAGACACTGTCTCAAAAAAAAAAAAAAAAGTGTAAATTTGTCTACTTGAATAATTTATATAAGAAACCATTTGTCAAAAGACAGTGTTGTAAAATAAATCCGAAAGTAAAATTTTAAGAAGTAGATGTGATATAGCTTATCTTGAAGAGAACTGTTAGTTCCCTCTTCCTCTAGAAGCTAGGTGCCTGCTGAGCAAGAATAGAAAGGCGCTGCCTCTTAATAGATGTAAAGAAGCGAGGCCTTTCCCCCTGCCCTAGGAGGCTGGGGGGGCGAAGCAAACAGTCCACTCTGCACCTGTACCTGCCGCCAGTCCTTAAAGCGTGTGCCTCTCCTGGTAACAGTCTCAAGGCAGAGAGGAAAAGCTTCAAGCTACATGAAGAGTTTGAAGCTTCCTGACTAAGAGCTAAAAAGAACATTTAAAAGTAGCTCTTCTTTTCCAAGTAGCAAAGTAATAATTAGTAATTTTGTTTGTTTGTTGCAAGCTCCAGGGTTTCCTTGTTCTCCAAGGATAGGCACTGTTCATTTCTGTGGTGTCTTTTTTTTTTTTTTCCTGACATCAAGTCTATGGGGTTTTTCTTCACACCAGCCAGTTGGATTCTCTGACACCAACTGGGTGTCCAATACTTCACTTCTGACGCTACCCAGAGTTAATGGAGACCCTCCAGGCTAAGGGCTTAGTCTCCTAGACTGCCACCCCCACTTCAGATGCCAGTCACCACTGTAGTGCCCAGGCTTCCTGCACTTCTTGGCCAACTACAGATCTGGCAGTTCCCATGCCCTCCATCCCTCACATCCCTGTCAGGTTGGAGAATTCTTTAGAATGATTCACACAACTCAGGAAAAACATTTTTCCTGGCATTTACTGGTTTGTTAGATAGGTGTCAATTCAGGCACAGCCCAGTGGAGGAGATGCTTAGGAGGACATGGTATGGGGATGGGCCACCCTCCCAGCACCTCCATGCCACCACCAGCCCAGGAACTCTCTGAACCCCATCATTTTGGTTTTTTTGTGGGTTTTTTTTTTTTTTTTACATAGGCATGATTGATTAAAACATTGTCCATTGATGAGTGACTCAATCTCTATCCAGCTCCTCTTTCCTCCCCAGAGGGCTGAGGCGAGGCTAGAAGTTCCAGCGCTCTCCTCACACAGCGAGGGCTCCCACGGCCACAGCCCCCATCCCAAGGTTCTCTAGCCTGCTCCTCTTCCCACAGTTATCTCCTTGGCTTACAAAAGACACCTTTATCATTAAGGAAATCACAGGGGTTTAGGCCTCTGTGCCAGGAACCTGGGATGAAGACCAAATATGTTTTTTTAAAACTAGGCCACAGTTAAGTTCTGGAAATGTCTGGCTAGCAGTTGTCCAGGCCCTGTGCTAGGGACCGGGGTCCTCTGGTGAGTGAGACAGCAGAGCCCTGCCCCGTGGAGGGGAGGCAGCAGCCAACATAGAGACAGAGACAGAGCATCCCACCAAGTGGGATGGTGCCACCCAGGAGACAACGCACTGAGATAGACAGAGGGGGTCCACTGGATGGGGGTGCTTGGGGAACGTTGCCGAGGAGACAGTGTTAATGAGACCCAAGGGACAAGGAGAGCCAGCGGTGTGACGAGCCCAGATGGGTGTGGCAGGGGCTGGGAGCAGGGAAGAGAATGGGGCCAAAAGGCCAGGTACAGTGAGGGGTGTGTCCTGTCGTGGGCCTTGATGAGTTGGTCTACTCTGAGAATGGACTGTGGGCCACATGTGGCAGCAGGGACAGCAGCGTGGGCAGACACAGGATCTGTTTAGGAGACCGGACTAGGCAGGCGGAGTGAATGTGGAAGTGGACAGGAGTTGAGAATGAACGTGGAGCTGATTTGCTTTAGAAACAGTGGGGGTAGTGATGCCTCTTGCTAGGCCAGGGCGGGCCTGGAGGGTGGAACCAAAAAGAGTTCTGCTGTGCAAATGTTAAGTTTGACATGTTTATCAGGCAGTCTCATGGAGATACGGAGGCAGCACTTGGATCTGAGCTGGAGACAAAATTTGAGTCGAATGTTAAGAGAGCCCAGGACCCAGCTCTGGGGAATTGCAGTCCCAGCAGGGCAGATTCAGAAGAATGACCAGAGCCAGAGAAGTGACTGGTGCACGGGAGGAAGACTAGCGGAGTGCAGGGCGCAGAGGCTGCGCGAGTGAGTGAGCTTCGGGTGCACAGAGGGTGGGGATCTTGACAGGCTTTTGGGGAGTAGCAGAGAGAGATACCAGGTTGGAGGTGAAGAAGAGGAAGCTGCAGGTAAAGACAGCTCTTTCAGAAAGTTGGATGTGGGGCCAGGCGTGGTGGCTCACGCCTGTAATCCCAGCACTTTTGAAGGCAGAGGTGGGTGGATCATCTGAGGTCAGGAGTTTGAGACCAGCCTGGCTAACATGGTGAAATCCCGTGGTGGCGGGTGCCTGTAATCCCAGCTACTCGGGAGACTGAGGCAGGAGAATTGCTTGAACCTGGGAGGTGAAGTTGCAGTGAGCTGAGATCGCGCTATTGCACTATAGCCTGGTGTAACGAGCGAAACTCTGTCTCAAGAAAACAGAGTTGGATGTGGAGAAGAGCAGACAGTGGGACAGTAGCTGAAAAGATTATGCAGCATATTTCTGTTTTGTGTTTTAAGATGGGCGGTACCAGAGCCAATTTATTTTTGTTTTGCTAATAGGAAAAATCCTGAACTCCTGGCTTTTTTTTTTTTTTTTTTTTCTGTTGCCTAGGCTGGAGCGCAGTGGCATGATCATAGCTCATGATCACCTCGAACTCCTGGACTCAAGCAGTCCTCCTGCCTCAGCCTCCTGAGTAGCTGGGATTATAGGTGTGCACTGCCATGCCTGGCTAATTTTTTATAAAGACAGGGTCTCTCGTCTTACCCAGGCTGGTCTCAAACTCCTGCTCAAGCAGTCCTCCCTCTTGGGCCTCCTAAAGTGCTGGAATTATAGGTGTCAGGCCACTAATGGGAAAAATCTAGCAAAGAGGGAGAGATTGACAATGTAAGGGAAATCATGTGACCGAAAGACGCCTTCAATGAAAGACGCCTTCTTGAATGTGAGAGTGGGTATGACATGCTGACACACTCAGTTTCCCCATGAATGGGGCAGGGATGCAGATGGGTGCAGGGCCATGGTGACTATGGATTCCACCGCCCCAAGAGGTGGCGAGAACTGGAAGAGATGGAGAGAGCTGTGCCAGGGAGTGGGGTAGATGAGGAGCCCACAGAGAAGCGAGTGGATTGCTGAGCCCCTTAGTGGCCATCTAGGCGGTGGTGCTGGCTTCCGCCTGCAGACAGCTCACCCTGCTAGGAGTTCTCAAAGGAGACATCCATCAGAGAGCTGCATCCGCTTTGAAGGAATCTCCTGCTTGTCACGGTGATGTGATTTCAGGCAGAGTAACCCCTCTCACGTATGTTCAGGTGTCTTTGAATCATTTCTCTTTTAAACCGGCGTCTGTCCCTGTGCCGTGGTTTACAGAGCAAGCGTGGGTGTTTTTTCATGGGAAGGTGGGATACGGTAAAGGGTCTCAATTGGTTGAAAGTAAAACCAGTGTAATTCTTCCAGGTCCGTGACGAGAAGTTATTACCGAGGCGCGGCCGGGGCTCTCCTTGTCTATGATATCACCAGGTAATGCCGGCTCCCCGTGGTGAAGGAGGCTGCTCAGTGCCCTGCAGCCCAAAGGCTGGTCTTGGCGAGGTGCCTTCCATGCAGTGTGTGCTTTGTGTGTCTGGGGACGGTGGTGTGGCTGGCATCCAGGAAGCCCCTTAGCCCTTCCCTCTGGGGTCTCAGAGGTCTTTGAACAAGCCCCTACCACTGGTTTCCCATGCAGAGAAATGTGTTTGTAAGGTTTTAGGTAGATGAAGCAATCTGTCTTATTGCATTACGTTTCTTGACATGATGCTTGGACAACACTTTCCTTAAGGTTCACAAAGCTTTATATACGGTAAGTTATTAGAAGTGAGTTGAGAGAGGGCGAGGACACAGACGCTGGGCTGGGATTGCTTGGTTCAAATCCCAGTTGCAGTCACTAGCTGGGTGATCCTCTCAGGCCAGCTGCTTCAGCTGCCTGGGCCTTAGTTTCCTTGTCTGTAAGATGGAGGTAGTAATAATCCCATGATCCTCAGGAGGTCATTGGGAGATTTAAATTAGTTAATGTGAAGCACTTAGATAGTAGCTGTTTGTGACATATGGCAATTTAACTGAAATGAAATAAAAAATTCTGTTCCTCGATTGCACTGGCCACATTTTAGGTCCTCAGTAGCTACACGTGGCTGGTGACTACCATATCAGAACAGATTATAGAACATTCCTATCCATGAGGAAATCCCATTCGACAGCGCTGATCTGAGTAGCACTATCTCAGAAACGTGTCATCTAAATGGCATCACCTGGGAGCCCTTTCTGGGTAGGAACCTGTCCAGTGAGAGGCTGTCGGTCAGCCGCTTCCCTCTTCCAATCTGTGTCCCTGGAGACAGGCATTCTGAGAGGAAGCAGGCAGTTTCTGGCCCAGCACTTCCTGCACTTGCCCCAGCAGTGAAAGGCTCTGCCTGCTAAAGTGTGAAGTCATCAGTCAGGCTAGCAAAGTGCCATGAGAAGAACTCGGTCCTTAGACACATGAGGGCCAAAAATAGTAAGTCTGAGAGTTGGTTCTGGAGCCAGACAGAGCTGGTCAAGTCCTGGCTTTGCCACTGGCTGCTGTATGACCTAGGGCAACGTAATTAATCTCTCTGGGCCTTGGATTTCTCAGGGAAAAGGAGAATAATGGCAGTCTGTGTCATGGAATCCTTATAAAGAATCAATGTGATAAAGTCCTGTAAAACAAAGTGCTGGCACATTGCAAGGATTCATTAAGTGGCAGCAGTTAGCTATGAAATCTTGCCTACCACAGTCTAGTACCTTGCACATGCTAAGAGCTCAGTAGATGTCAAATGAATGAAGGAATATATCTTTCCTTTTGCCCCATGACTGGGCAAACAAAAAATGACAAAATATCTGACTTACTGTCTCATTTTACCAGAAACAAAACGAAACAAACTCTGTGGATATGGTATATGTTTGGTGCATTCACGTTGTCTGAGTTACCTTAAAGGTGTTGGTGCCATTACCCTGAAATGTTGAAAAGCGGTGTGAGTAGTGAGAATGACTGGAAAGAGTTGCTAGTTTTATAAAATACATGTATTATTTTCACAATCTTATATTACGCAGCCGAGAAACCTACAATGCGCTTACTAATTGGTTAACAGATGCCCGAATGCTAGCGAGTCAGAACATTGTGATCATCCTTTGTGGAAACAAGAAGGACCTGGATGCAGATCGTGAAGTTACCTTCTTAGAAGCCTCCAGATTTGCTCAAGAAAATGGCAAGTGACCTTTTACTTCTTACTATTTTTCAAATGGCATATTTGAGGATAAAAGCATTTCTTTGAATTTAAAACATATATTGGAATTTCGAGATTAAACTAGATTTAGGAAATGTGGAATTTCCAATTGTTTTTACTATAAATTAGACCTGTTTAGCATATTGTTAGTGTATTGCATTCTGCCTGCAGAAGTTACTATAATGATAAAAGCAAATGTAGTAACATTACTTAATGACTTTTCAGTCGAAGGTCTTTGAATATTAGAGATCTTGGGCTAAAGTGAAATTTATAACAATAATCTTTAAAGACTCTAACCAAATGATGTCATTATTTTTTAATGTATTTTGAAGGAAATTTGGTGAAGTATTAGCCCAAATAGAAAGGGAAGCAGAAGAAATACTTGGCTTATTGGCTTCATTTGCTAAACTTAAGTCATTTGGTTATAGGTGACTTTGAAACTTTTTTGAATTTCCATGTAGAATACGTGAAAATGCCACATAAAATTAATGGTTGCTTTATTAATGGATAAGAGAATGATTTTTTAAAAATTCAGACATTTTAAATAATTTTTAGAACCAAAGACTATAATATGCTAATATCAATATTTGATTGGACCCTAAGATTCCAAATTATATTGTAACTTTACTAGTTTCTTGCTAAGAAAATAAACATGAGGGAAATCCATACGCCATCATGACAGTTTTTAAAAAACTGTTTAGAAATCAGAAGTTTGGAATGTTAACAAAGATGAAAAGGAATTTAGATGTCATCTAAACTCATTTTTACAAGTGAGGATACAAGAGGCTAGCGAGGCTGTGGTTTGCTGAGAGAGCAAGCAGAACAGGCCTTTCTGCTGAGATGAACAGCTACTCTAGTGGGTAGAAAGAATATTAATTCCTGTACTATCTCTTCATGGGCTGTATGACAGACTGCAGTATAGTCCCCTAAAAAGTGTAAACACTTGTAGGTCATATTTGTGGTGACACTCAGATTGTTTGAAGGACATTGCAACTTTGCCTGAAATCAGTGGCAGGGCCATTTTGGCGAGCCAGCTCCTTCCTGATGGCTGGTCACTCAGCTGGGGAAGCCTGGTGGCTTGCTCAGGCCTTTCACCAGGTGAAGGGCTAGCACAAGATTCCAGTGACTTTTCAGTCCGGTGCTGGAATTCTTCTAACATTTAAAAAACACATAACGACATATATTGGTTTTATATTGACAGAAATATATGGTTTTAGGTTATAAATTATATTTTGTCTGCTTTTCTAAGAGAATGCTGCACAGACTTTTAGTAAGTGAAAATTATGATCATCTTCTAAATATGACTTTATTTTGTTTGATGTCCATTTTAGAGCTGATGTTTTTGGAAACAAGTGCACTAACAGGGGAGAATGTAGAAGAGGCTTTTGTACAGTGTGCAAGAAAAATACTTAACAAAATTGAATCAGGTAAAAGCCTTTCCATTAGTCAAATTTTTCTTCTGCATATTTTACACTCTAGCTCAGTAGATCACCTTTTAATTAATAGTTTCAGGAGTGGTTTAATAAAGACTATTCTGTCTGTACCTGCCAACCTAAAATCATCACATATGGGTTCAAAGGTCATGTTCTCCTGGCTGAGGTGAAAGCCCTTCCTTATCAGGATGGTTTCCATGGTGATGAAGGTGGATGGGCACACCAACTCAGCTGTGGAGGGGTAGTCAAGGTTTCAGGGAGTGTTTGCATTTAGAATTATAGTATTTCTTGGGTCCTTCACTAAAAGGAGGAAGAATAGGCCTTTGTCCACTCTGTCAACAGCATGCTAATTCTGTTGGACCAGTGGTCATGTGTAAGGGAGTTACAGGTACATGGTGTAGTGTTGATCTTTGCAGATCGGGCATCATGGAGCTATGGAGTCCAGAGTAATTTTATTTCTGAAGCTCACTGAGCATGCCTCAATTATAAAATGCCTCATTTTTGTGTTTGTTGCTTCAGTTAAAATAATTCAAAATAATCCTAATGTAGGCAGCTGACAAAATACTATGTAATTGTCATTTACTAAAGTAACTATATATAGGCATCACCTTTTAATTGATTCATTCAAACATCTGAGTGCCTATTCTTTGTCAGATGCTGGGATACAAAAATGAATAAATCACACCCCTTGTCCCCCAAGAAACTGTCTTCCGTGGGAGACAGTCAGAGGATAATTATAATATCACGAGGCTGATGTGGTAATTGAGGGATGCACAGGCTCAGGGTAACATGAAGAAGGGGACCTGCCACAGCCAGAGGATAGAGGAGGTGTCAGGGAGGGCTTCCAGGAGGAGGTATTAGATGAGCTCAGGCTTTCAGAATATAACGAAGAGTGAGCCAGCAAAGGGAGTGAGGAAGATAGAATAGCAGGAGAAAAGGTTGAAGAAAGGCAGGAACCAGCCAGTCCTCATCAAGGATCTAGAACTTTATCTTGTAGGTTACCAATTCTCAACCCTGGATGAGCACTAGAGTCACTGAGATGCATTAAAAGTTCTAATCCCAGGCTCTGCCTCTGGAGACGCTGAATTAATTGGGCTGAAGTATGGTCGAGGCATCAGCGTTTTTAAATGTTCACTCATGCGGTTCTAATGTTCATCCAAGGTTGAGAACCACTGCTGTAGGTGGTGGGTTGTCAGCAGGTGGGTGATGTGATCGGGTTGTGACCTGAGATAAGTCATGTATGTAGGGAGTTATGTTGAAAACAGACTGAAGAGAGGACAGGGTTGGAGGCCAGGATACCAGTTATAAGGCATTTTTGAGTAATCCTAGTAAGAAATGACTGATTAATGCTTTAACAAGGATATGGAAGCAGAGATGGAGAGAGAGAGATGGATCTAAGATATATTTAGGCAGTAGCATCTTATGACTCATATGCCCAATAGTGGAACAGGACAACTGGTTCTTAGGTGGGACAGGGTGAGCAGGAGGGGCCAGCAGGGGAGAAGGAACCAAGGATGACTCACAGCTGTCACACTGGGGTCTCTGGACAGAGATGCGGTGGAGCCAGAGGAGAAGCAGGGAGTGTGAGGGAATAAAGATGGCTCTGTTGCGAATGTGCAGCCTTTGTGGTGACACTGGGACATGCACATGGAGTTATCTAGTAAGCTTGGGGAAGAGTTCCTGGCTGGCAGTATAAATTTGGGAACCATCAATATATAGGAACAGCTAAAACTGTGGAAGCAATGTGATCATCCAGAGAACAGTGTTTAAGGAGAGCAGTGATCAACAGAACCCTGGAGATGAAGGATGAGCAGGGGAAGAGGAATCTACAAAAAAGATGAAAAAGGAAATGGTCAGAAATGTGTGAAGAAAATCAAGGGAATGTGGGTGTCACTTAAGCCCTAATTATAAGTAAATCAAAGGAGTGTTCATTATGTACTGTAATAGTAACAGAGGGAAGCCTCATAAGCTAAGACTGAGCTGAAAAACACACATTGGGATGGGGAATAGAAAGTCAGTGATCAGTTTGATCAAGAACAGTTTCAGCAGAATTATGAAGGTAGAAGATGGCTGGCCATCCGTCAGGAAGAAGTAGGAAGTGAGCAAGCAGAGTGTCCACTCCTCTCCTGAGGAAGCGCAGGCTGGCACTGTAGGGTGCAAAGGGTTAATTTAAAGTCAGGGGTGTGGGTGATGGGAGAAATTGCAGCATGTTTTAAAAGGGGGAACGGAGAGAAGAATGGGCAAGGAGAGGGCAGGGAAGAAGGAGGGTGCTAGGTAAAGGAGGAAGGAGGAGAGTCGGGCCCAGTTGGAAGGGCTGGGTTTCAACAGAAATGGATGCGTCATCCTTTTGTATTTTTTTTTATCAGAAAGAAAAAAAAATTACTAAGCTTGGTACAAAAACCAAGACTCTGTAACATAAATCATTACAGTTGGCTTGCTGTTGAGTATTACTAAGCTCAGCATGAGGTTGTATTTACATGACCTTGCTATTTTAATATTGTATCCCTGAATACATCAGAGCAACTCATATACAGTCTTCAAGATGTGTTTTTTTCTGAGATCATCAAAATCATAAGTACCTCTAGGTTAAAAAAAATAAGGGTATAAATTAGGATTCTTCAGCAGTACTTTTTATTTTTTTTAATGGGTAATACATTCAAGAACCATTGTTTTCTTCCCTTTTTTTATACAAAATATATGATAGACTACCACGCCTTGCTTTTTTACTTACTGTTATATAACCTATAAATCATGACAAATCAGCGTATAGTTCCCGTATATACATATACCTAATGTACATATATATAACACATAATGTCATACGTAATGTGTGTGTGTAATATATAACATGGGTTGAGTATCCCTAATCCAAAATGTTCCAAAATCTGAAACTTTTTAATTGCCAACATTGCCACTGAAAGGAAATGCTTATTGGAGCACTTCAAATTTCAGATTTTCAGATTAGGGATGCTGAACTGGTAAGTATAATGGAAATATTTCAAAATCTGAAAAAATCCAAAATACTTCTGGTTTCAAGTATTTTGGATAAGGACCGCTCAACCTATATATCACGTATGTGTTGCCATAATTTATGTAGCCAGTCTACTTTGGACATCTGGGTTGTTGCCAGTATTTTGCTATTATAAGTAATGTTACAGTAAATACTTTTTTTTATATATATATATATATATTTTTTTTTTTTTTGCATGTGCATGAGTCTGTGTGTCAGACAGATGCGCAGAAGTGGAATTGCTGGGTCAGAGAACAGAAGCATTTGGGATCTTGGTGTAGAGGCGGTCACATTTTCTCCTAGTGATGGGCTTATTTCACTAAAGCCATGTCCACAGCATGTAGTATCATCATACTTGGACTTTTGGCCCATCCGATAAGTGAAAAATTGTATCTTTGTAATTTAATTTTAAGTTATTTTATATAAATAATATATTCACATAATTTGAAATTCAAGAAGTATAAAAGAGTATGCAGTGGAAAGTCCCGCTGTTACCACCCCCTCCTGTCCCCGGCCATCTAGAACTCCTCCGAATCAGCCGTTCCTTATGTATCGTGCTAGAGACGTTTTGTGCCGGTGCAAGCAAACATGTAAATTGTTTTTTCCTCTTTATTCAGAATGGTGGGATATATACACAGGGTTCCATACTTTGCTTTTTTTTTTTTTTTTTTTAATCTATTTTTGGGATCTCAGAAACATAAAACTTTTTTTTAAAGAAGACTTGCTTGGTCCTTAGGTGAGCTGGACCCAGAAAGAATGGGCTCGGGTATTCAGTACGGAGATGCTGCCTTGAGACAGCTGAGGTCACCGCGGCGCGCACAGGCCCCGAATGCTCAGGAGTGTGGTTGTTAGGAGCCATGGGAGAGCGCACAGGTGGGTTTGGACACCTCACTGCCCTGAGTTCCTGACAAGCTGAAGTGCAGAGGCCTGTGAAAGCTTTGGGAAGCTGCAGTATGAAAAAGAGAGGATCCCAGCCGGGTGCAGTGGCTCTAATTCCAGCACTGTGGGAGGCTGAGGTGGGCCAACCGCTTTAGTTCAGGAGTTTGAGACCAGCCTAGGCATCATGGTGAAACACTATCTCTACAAAATACAAAAAATTAGCCAAGCATAGTGGCATGCACCTGTAGTCCCAGCTACTCATGAAACTTAGGAGAATTGCTTGAGCCTGGGAGGCAGAGGTTGCAGTAAGCCAAGATCGCACCACTGCACTCCAGCCTGGGTGATAAAGTGAGACGGTCTCAGAAAAAAAAAAAAAAAAGAGAAAGAGAATATCCCGTAAGTTAAAGTTGGATGTTCTAACTGAAAGAATTTACACCCTATAGGAAATTCTCATGTTCTTGTTCAGAAAGAAAGGAAGGGCAGGTGGTGGTTGACGGGAGAGGGTGAGATATCCTAATTCCTTATGTCAGTGAGGAGCCTTTCCTGGATTGATTGAGGTCTAAAGGAATGTGCCTTTTGCTAAAACAGGAGACCCATTTATGAAATTGACAAATGTCTCCCTTTAGCTTTTTAAAGCTTCTTCTTTTTTCCCATTTACCACAGTGGACGTTTTATTTATAGTCGACATCATGTAGTAGACACAGACAAGTATTGAAAGACGAGATGTTCACGAATTCTCTTTTAGGCTTTAAGCTGTATTTACTTTTGCATTTATAATTGTGCAGATTTTGACATTGTTCTTATTATTTTTTAGGTGTTCATACAGTGGCATTTGGGACACAATCGTTGGAACCTGAAGAATCTTAAGTTTTTTTACCACCATCCTTTTCTACTCTGTATGGAAGTAGATCTTTATGGGGAAAAGAGAATTTGGGGTGTTCTGCAAGCTGGTCAAAGTGGCACAGCAAATCAGATAAAGCGAATTAAATGGACAACACCGTTAGATGTGTATGTAAAAATTTTCTGTTTCATATTTTCCCTTTCACTTTCGGTTTAAAACATGCTATAAACATGCTATAAACATGCTATGTACTGTATGTCCTGTAGCCCAGTGTGGCTCCGCAGCATGGAATCTGATGTATGATATGATAGAATGTGGCACTAAATGCAGTTTCAGATTTTATTTTTTTTAATCATATGAACTAAAATTGTCAGTTGTGAGGTGTGCTCTTCTCATCATGTTGGTTATATTGCACAATTGGTTATATTTATGACCTGATATTCAAAGACTCTGGCATTGATAGCCAGTGTGTTTCTTATTTAATTCTGTTTACTACATTCTACATGGTGTTTACGTGATCCACACTTGAAATACTAGATCAGTAGACATTCACTAACATACCAAAAAAAATAAAATGAAAAATGGAGTTTTTCCGTGAACTTTATACTGTCCAGCTCTGTTGATTTTAAAGCCTCTTCATCCAGGTCAGTTCAGGAAGTATATGTGGAGTACCTGCTCTGTTTTAGGCTATGAGACTAGCACTAAGGATTCTGGTACCTTTACCCAAACCTACCGGGCTACTAATACTTCTCTCAGCGGTGGATAAAATACAATAGACCATGCAAGCTGGGGCCGCTCGTCCATTTCCAGTTTGCTGGTGTGTCTGGTCTCCCTGCTAGAAAACACATTGTTTGTACTGTGCTTTTTCTGGAATTCAGTAGAATGGCATCACTGCCTGTTTTTCATATCTTTTGTTTCCTGTTCATTTTAAGGAAACCTGCTAAATCCAGTTAATATGAAAAGGACACCACTCATTAAGAAATTTCTTTATGGCTTCTGCTGAATACTTAAATGCCTTACTACAGTTATCAAGTTGACATGTTTTTAATTCATCTAAGGTATATTGGGTATATTGAAGTGTATATTGTATTACAAAGACTTGTTCTTGTATTTTAAAATGTCAGTGCAAAAAATATATGGTGGAACCTTTCTTTAAAGTTGAAATACAGTATTATTTAAGTCTGAAAGGTTAAAAAGCTTTCTTCACCTTATATATGTTCTTCCACTGTGACTTTTTAGTTGAAGACTAGTAAATTAACTTTTAGTTAGAAGATGCCTACTGCTTTTGTTGTTTATTTTAATCAGCAGAGCACAGAGACACACAAAAACTCTGGGAAGTAACTAGGATAAAAATACCAGTATGTGTCTGTTTTAGATATTTTGAGTTTTGCTTTTTTTATGCCTTGAATATTTTATTTCAGAAAGTATCTGAAGCAAATTCTCAGACTGAACTACTTCTTAGACCTCACTGTAAGAATGTTTTATTCAATGTCTCATTTATGATAGATTTGCAAGCTGCTCATTTTTGAACAGCTTTTTGCATGGGATAGGAGCATGTCTATTCTAACACATCAGCTTATTCAAAAGCAAGAATTTTAAAAATAAGATAAATGTAAAGTTGTTTTATAAACGATCCTGTTAATTAACCCACAGACACCATATATCCTTCTGCATCCTTTGACCAATAAAAGTTGCTGGAGAACCAAACCATGGTGGTTCTTAATCAGGCTTTGCCTTTAGGGAGAATGAGGAGGGGAGATAATTCGGTATTGTTCAGGCTAGTAATAAATGTTACGTTGCTATTTCCCGTAACTCATTAAATTTTCAGGAAGCTCTTAATTTAGATTTCTAGGAAAGTAATTATTCAGTCTTCCTAGAAAAAGATTATAAAAACCATTTAAACTGGAGATCGTAATTTATTCTTTTACAGTCCAGCATTTAAGTAAAAATGAGAACATCACAATTTGGGAATCTGTAATGGTTTTGTTGAAAACATTACTTGTGGCTAGTATAAGAATTGCTGAATTCAAGAACATTGATTCCTAGCAGATCAATAATAGTATTTAAAGAATCTGATGCTAAAATTAGAAACTTAAATGATCTGTAATTTGTACTGTGACACAGCAGATGATGTTTCCTTATTTTCTGTCATCTTTTTATGTTTTTGGAGAGGCAAATTAGAGGCGCTTTAAAAAAAAACCCGTGAATTTTTAATGTTTTGTGGTGCCATTTGTGAAGCACCTCTTTCCTGATCCATCTAACTACTCATGTACGTACAATCTGAGTTTGTTCCACTTGTTGACTTGGTTACTTCCCTATTGTATTTATTTCTTTAAAGGGTTGTTTTAGAATTTTAGAGGAATTTATCTGAGAACACAAGATCTACCACTTTCAGTAGGACAAGTGACCCAAGTTGTTGGTCACCAGCCTCAAAGGTTAGGAAACACTACCTACTGATAGAAAATAATGTGGTTAGGGAATCTGTGTTTTCATTTAAAAGAGCATTTATGTACTTTTTTCCCTTCATATTT